AAGCGATCTGAAAAGAGAGTGTCGTCTGCTAGTTCTTTTTTGCAAGGCAGAGGTCATTGCTTTATGACACAGCACTTCGAAATATTGTTTTAGGTCGGTTCCGTACCGACAACCTTGTCCTTAGTTATCTCGCACGGGGATGTTTCTGGGGATACGTCCTTGTTCCATCAAACCATTGTAGAGAGAATTTGTTTTAAGCAATTAACACGAATGGCATGTTTATCGCTTTAATTGGGTATTTTGATCCGGACACTTTCGTCCATTAATTATCTTTATAGAACTCGATCATCTTCGGCAAAGACCAATGCCATTACACATCACTGACGTACGCATCCTTCGCAACAATTACGCAGATCTACTTTAATTTGCCACTACGCATATCACGCAAGAATATCTATTATGGCAGCGGGACAAACTGAGTGATTTCCGTAGTAATTTCGAGGCCGCGATCCGATCAAGCAAATAGCTACTTACTCTTGATGTGCTATTATCCATGGCATATATTGTCTCTGTGTCTCAAGAAAACTTTATTTCACTGTTTTTTGAAGACTCATTTATTTTAACTTTATCCTCTTAGTCTATTTCATCTCCGCATTGACCATCTTATAACAATTAGTTAGTCATTCATTATCTGGAGGTTGTCTATCAAGAAGGTAACCATGCCCCAGTTCGCTCGGCTTGATCGAGATGTGGATCTTCGGCACCTCCTGCATTGCTAAGCAGTCGCCGGAATCTTGCTTCGCAAAGATGTAATGTTCAGTTTTATTGTGGTCTTGTGCAGTCGTACTAACAACGCAACCTCACACTAGGCCATTTCACTCACTCGTAGTATATTCACATGGTCGAGGACGCTCCAAGACGAAATTTTTTACAGGCGCATCTGCGCCTGTAGCGATGTGTATCGTCATACTCGTCGGAGGGATCTCTGGCTCGATGTATTTGAGCTGGTATTGTCTCGAGATTGGCGCTTTATAAAGTTGTTTGACGCCCTGCAATCGACTAGGGCTCGTAGTGACATGTTCTGCGTCATTTTAGCTTCAAAGTAATGAGGTGAACCTTATGTTCAAAAATTCTCTCCAAGTGGCCTGCAATTTAACTTGAAGCTACTGGATTAAAAGGTTTTTTCGCAACTGCTGACCCTGCTAATTTGATTTACTTCACCTTAAATTGTTTTTTTTTGCAAAAGCATCGTACCCACGCCTCATATCCTTCTTCAACGCTTGACGGTTCTGCTTCCTGAGGTACGTGATACCACGTTTAATGCACTGCATTCTTGTGCATAACGCCCTGTCTTTTGAACCTTTTGCGTGTCTGATATATATTGTAATTGATAATGCGAGAGATTACAATCTCATCGTAACTGAGTTCCATTGGTCTGGAACTCCACTTCCCTGTCGTCCCATAGGTAGATAGGAGTTTGAACTCACGTGAGCTTGTTTCGTGATGAAATTTTCTAGTCCCATAACTCGGATTTCCTCTCTTCGGGTGCCAAATTTTAATCAGAAGAGGTAGATTTTGACCGGGCTGTATGCGAGACCCTAAATGAATAACGTTTGTTCATTCGGCAAATTTGCTAAATGCAACTCGTAAGGTGACGCATGTACTTAATGTATAAGTGTAAAACACGTTTGTCTTATTTAAATTATGGAAGTGCAGGTTGAAATTTGGAACTTGGATCGTAGAGGTTAAGACATTTGTGAGAGACAGGACTTAAATACGACAACGACCCAAAGACACGTGGAATGGTAAGCTGGAGTCCCAAGGCCTAAGTTATAATACATCCTGCCAAGTTTGATTGAGCGAAAGTTACCTGCACTTTCTCATTTTCAATGTGACGAGCTCTCATGGCGTCATCTAGTACGACGAAACATCTCAAGATGGAGTTAATTAATATGCTTTGTTGTAGGTGTGGTCACTTTTTAGCGATTCGGGTCGACTTGGATGTGTCAACCCGGTAGCAGCAGCCTGCTGCCGTCTAACAACTTAAACAAAAGAACACTCTGTTCTCTCAAAATTTCTGTCTGTTAAGAACCTCGTTTGGAAACCAAGGCTACATTTTCCGCACAGCGTTAATTTCATTTTGAACAGACTTAGCGATAATGGCGTACTGCCCGTCCGGCACTAGAGCGAACAGCATTGCGCCTACGGCTTCTTGTCCTATCGTCGAGCTTTGTCATTTGACAGCTTCCCATTTCATTGGTCTAAAATTGAATAAGCTCCTGTGCGCTGGATGGAAGTCTTCCGCTCCATCAATTATAATGATAATGGTCGCTTGACGGATTACAATGTGCTGCTATGTGTAACGGGGTACCGGTCGCCTATACTGTTACAGTACAAGCTACTTACACTGAATGCGTATTAAGGTAGTACCACAAGATTTCACGTACATGCAAGGTACAGAAAAAGCTTTTAAAACGAGAAAAGGGGTAAAAGGAGAGCTGTACTTGGTATAGTTAAATTTCCTGTTGATAAAATAATATAGTATTGTTTTAACGATAGGAATTTTTGATCGCACGCCTCCAAAATCAATAGGTAAATGCCTTTTTAAACTTTTAATCGATGTTCTTGTATGCACGCCCATCAATCGAAGCTTTTCGCTCGTCCAGGCTTGTGTATCGGCGACGGTCTTGTCGTCAACTAGACAATACGATGTACGTTGCGAAAGATGATAAATCAATTCCGGCAGATAGTTACCTAACGGTAAGGTCGTTTTGTACTCGTGCTAAGCCGCGAACGATTGAGCTGACGATTGTGGGTCGTCCGAAGTCAACTGTCGACGCTGCTTGGAAAATTTGTTCGCAACAATAGTTTTCATACGGGTCCTGTGTACGTAATATGTATTGACTTCGCTTTGGTGCACTGCCTGCTATCATGATGTGTCATTCACTTTCAGGCCTGGGGGATCACGTTATTTGGCATAAGCGCCATATCAATTTCACGGACGCCACAACGAGAAAGTGTATACGGCATGTACTCGACGATTAGTAAAGCGTGAAAACCTGTCAGTGTGTGATGCCTTCTGCGTAAGATAATAGCGAATCTAAGATGAGTCGCTTAACAATTGCGCAGCATTTGATTATAGAGATACGTGCTTTGGCACCGGCGTTCAACTAAAGCGAATTTTCAGATGCAGACGGCGACTTGCATCGCACTAAAAATGAGTTGTAGAACTCGCTTGCACAAGAGCGAGTTCCTGCGGTGACCATTTTCGAGCTTTAAGTAGCAGCATAAAAATAATTTGGTGATTAAAATGTACGTGTAAAAGAGATGGAAACTTTGCGCGGAGGTGCGAAGATTCATTTATATGTCACTAGTTTGTTCTTGTGATATGAACGTGCACTTAGTTAAGAAAAGGCTTTCTTGTGATCCGCTCCGCACCCTTTACATTTAATTCTCCTAACAGTAAATCTGGGCTGCCGTCGGTCGCAAAAGATATTGATAGTATTTTATTAAACAAGACGTCCATAATTTCTTGAATTTCCTGGCTATACACATGAGCCTGCGTTTGGTTACGCCAGCCATAAAAAAAGGCGTGAATTTAACAAGTCGCGCATCTAGCAACTCTAAGGCAGGCATCAAACAATTCCCGTTTTTTATGCAAACATGTATTGTAACTATTTGCTCACCACTCATTGCGTTCTTCCGTGGTCGCTTGGCTTTATTTGATTGATCTCATTAGCTTAATACAACCAAAGAGCAGTGTATTTTTTCGTTCTTCTGTCTTGGCTCGGCTTTATTGGTTGATAGCATTAGCTTATATCAACCTAAGAGCAGTGTATAATTTCTCCAGAACAATATTGCTTGCTAAGCCAATATTGTGAGAATGTCTTGTTTGTCCTGTTTCAATAATCGTCGTTGATATTTATCTTATGTAAAATTTTGTGTAACTATGGCACCACGTTACAAGGATAGATGCGTAGAAATCGTAGTACATTGTGGCAAATTTTCTTAATCGAGCGATCGACTCATTTCCACGACGCCAGGGAAGGTAACGCAGACTGATAAAAGCTTCGCATCCGACAGTTGCAATATGAATTCGGCTAATATGTAATACCAGCTAGGGTTAAACTTATTAATTGACCCAACAAACGTTGTCATGAGCAGAAGCCAGGAAATATAGTTGCTGATCGAGGAGAATCTATTATTTTTATTGCAGGCAATGAGAAAAGCCATTTCATGAACAAACGTTATCGCGCTGCTAGCGGCCATGGTACGGTTGCAGCTGTGCTAAGGAGGCGTTGTCCAAAGTGGACTCATTACGTAATTTACGTTCTTCTGTCTATGACCTCTACTTGATTTAGATGTGTCCTTTCCCTACCTCAATAGCGGACTCTGACAAAATGAGAGAATAGACTGATCAACACAGAGGAGATGATGATCAGCACTAAGCAGCAAGAATATAACATAAGCGATCCCTAGAAGCACTGAACACAATACCATTGCTGCGTTCTTTGGCCAAAATCGTAGAGAGGTTGATGAAGCGCTGTATAAAGGCTCGCAAGTGAAGAGAGTCGCATCCCTTCTTGCTTCTGTATTTAAAATACAGTGTCAGGTGCGACACCTCAGGACAATTTCTCGTTTACAACAAAAGGCTGTGCATAATGCAGGCATGACAATACAAGACATTCGAAGTATCATGGATGCTTATTCAATGCACACTAACAGCGACAAAGACTACGATTATCTTCAATGACCCAAAACTCGCCTCATCACCATTATCTTCATCCTTGATGGGGAAACAGGTGAACATGCTCGAGTCCGAAGCAACGCACGTCAATCCATGGCACCTTCATGCTAGCACAAACGATCAACACAAACATAGTAGCGTCCGAAGTCCGCAGAAACCGCCAAAGCTCAGGAGCTCGACACACTTCGAAATGCATCCAGATCTACGGTTATCCAGCTTCAAGGCTGCAGCAATCGGTCACCGTAGCGACATCATATCAGCCACACTTCTCGTGCTTCCCTCTTCTTCTGCATCACCCTCTCAATAGCCGCTGCTACTTCCTCCAAAAGGTTAAGAAATTCCAGAGCCTTGTGATGACGTTAGCAATCGTCATCTTCAGAGCGCCGGCGCCTTCCTTGATCCACGAAGCAAATCTTGGTTTCGGCCCTTCAACGCTTGCTTCAGAGTTCTTACCAGGTTCTTTGCTGGATTGGAAGGATTCTTTGACGGGTTGGACCGGTTCCTTTATAGATTGGACGACGGGATGGACGGATTCAATGCCGGGTTCTGTGTCTTGACCCAACACCGCAGAACCTTTCTTGGTCTTCGAGACATTCGTTGGTTCCGGTTTTTCAACGCTTGCTTTGACGGGTTGGACGGGTACTTTGCCGGGTGGATTGCCACGTTCTTTGGTGCGTGCTTTGCGATCGGGCAACGGAAGCGTCTCGACGGGTGGTTTATCTGGGGAAAACCACTTTCTGCTAGGTTTATGGTCTCGAGCAAACGCCTCAACGTACGTCTTGAACCTTTTGATTACCGTCGGGTTTGGTTTACCAGCGCTTGCTTTAACGGTCTCAACAGGCTCGTTACGGAGTTTATTGCCGGATTCTTTGCCGAGATGATTACCAGGATCTTCGCCGAGTTGATCGCGAGGTACGTTGCCAAGAGTATTTCCAGGTTCTTTGTCGTGTAGATTGCCGGGTTCTTTGCCGAGATGATTACCAGGTTCTTCGCCGAGTTGGTCGCGAGGTACTTTGCCAAGAGTATTACCAGAATCTTCGAGGAGTTGATGGCGAGGTACTTTGCCAAGAGTATTACCAGGTTCTTTGTCGTGTAGATTGCCGGGTTCTTCGCCGAGGTTATTACCAGGTTCTTTGTCGCGTAAATTGCCGGGTTCTTTGCCAAGAGTATTACCAGGATCTTCGAGGAGTTGATCGCGAGGTACTTTGCCAAGAGTATCGCCAGGTTCCTTGTCGTGTAGATTGCCGGGTTCTGTGCCGAGATGATTACCAGGTTCTTTGTCGCGTAGATTGCCGGGTTCTTTGCCGAGTTTTGGACCTCGTCTTGCAAAAAGGTTCTTGAAGGATGTGGAAGGAACTTGATTGCGCCACTTCGTAAATGCTTTCTGTACAACCTTGATGAAACTTGTGCCTAGGTCCTTCTTCTTGAAGATGCTTGGAAAAGCGTCGGCCCTGGCCTTCACCTTCAATCGAGCCTTCGAATGTCCGGTTGACAACAATTTGTTAACAGAGGAACTGATCGATCGAAGCATCCGTTTGCCGTCCTGTTCCGACCGAATGGCTTGGTCCTCGTTCTGCGTTGCCAGCTTGGGCAGCTGTTCATCTGACGGAGCTGATCGAGTTCCACTGCAAGCGAGCCCGACGAGTGCAAGCACGAGTAGGAGGAAGACCCTGGACATCTGGGAAGACGGGCTTGGAGTTGATTAGAGAGTCACAGGCAGTCTGAGAAGTTGCGGCACACGCAGAGCAGATTGTGGAAATAAATTTATAAGTGCGTCGTGAATGAAGGTGAGTGGTGGCAGGTGAGTGCTTTCGCTTGCTGCCTCGGAATGCTTATGGGACGTACGACTGTATCAGCTGCGCAGATTCCGATCTTTAGACATATGGGTACATAGATGATATACAGGCTGTGCCGTGCCAAGACGGGTGGACCAGATTGCATCCTGCCTGTCAATCGGACAGTTTCAGATCTTGTAGATGGACCTCCATCCAGAACCTTTTATGTGCTGAGCAGTGTCAAAGCTCAAGAATTTACTGTGGAGTCCTACAAAGGACACCACGCCCATGCCCACGTCCACGCCCGTGAGATATATTGGGGCCGTAGGCGTGTTGCTGGTGGCACAGCTGGACAGATGGCGAGGCAGTATACAATAATATAAAAGGGGATATGCATAACATGCATATTGTTACGAAAGTATAGGCCATAGGCGTGTTGCTGGTGGCACGGCTGGACAGTAGAAGGCGAGGCAGTATGCAATATTATAAAAGGGGGTATGCATAAAATACATATTGTTACGAAAGTGTGGGATGTTAAATTAAAAATAGCGAGCGACACAAAATAGGGAAGCGGGTAAACACTCTCTACGCATTTAATAACATCTCTCCAGGTTTTGTGAATTACCCATTACCCTCTATAATCGCCCGTGCAATTTGCTAAAACCTTTCAATTGGTCCAAATAAACAGCAGAATCTCTAAAACTAATAAAAAAGAATGCACATTCAACCACAAAACAAAAAGAAATATTTTTTTTGCCCCCGATAATTGAAGACTTATTGGTGCCCCAGATTACAAAAAAATAAAAAGTGCACCACGTCCTCGAATAATTAAATTATTGTGGGACACATTTACTAACATTGTGCTTCGATATTGGGATCAACCTAAAAAAAAAACCCTTCACACGCTATACACTAATTCGCCTTACTTAATAACGCTACATTATGTCGATGCCAATTCGCAACGTGCACAACTTAGCAAACTCGGTGCCAATGAGAAAGCTTTGATCGAATTTGGCGGGTGTGTAGGTCCTCAACAATTAGAAGCGCCACTCATTACTACCAATTTACATTATAATTATACCAAAAGCAGTTATATAGTAAATCGAACGAAGCAGCACGTGGTGTGGCACTAAATGTCACCGTTAGGTAGTCGCAAACTAACTGCTGATGGACACAATATGACAGAATCTTATTGGAGTTCGTATTGTACGTTCCAACAAACACCCTACGATCAAAGTAGGGCCACAGCTCCTGCAAAAACAGGAGCGCACCAAAACCTAGAGACCTCTGCTCGATAGGTTTTAGAGCTCCCTACTCTTATCGTTTTTTGCAAGGCAGCATGTGTACTCGCTAATTACAGTAAAATGGACTATATACCAATCAGATCTGATTGGTATATAGTCCAATTTTACTGTAATTAGGCATATATTTCGCTTTTCTCATCCAAATAATTCCAAACCTCAGTCCAACATAAAAGTATACAAGGAGCTATGCACCCAAGAGTTCTCATTAGATTTTATGCCCTATTGTTCTAACCCGGGCACATCTTACCGCCGAAGAAGGAGCATCATTTAATGTGTGGAAGACATAGACACTGTAATAGCCGATTACCACGATCAAGCGTATTCTATCCGTGAAAGAGCTCCTAATGTCAAGAGTCAACTCGCCAGCCTCATTAAGCATCTACTTCCCGAACCCAAACTCTTGATACTGGTCGCCCAGCAATACAAAACAATAGTGACAACGCAGATATGCCCTAACGCAGCGCTAATAGCTGTCGGGCTCTAACGAAAACCAGCGAGGTGAACCTCACATCAACAACGATTCATTGTAGAGAAGTCACACCTACAATTTCAGCATATAAGGAGAAGACGAGCGAGACGTACAACATGAACATTTCGTGAGAGACCGCATCACCCAGACTGTGGCCGGAAGTAAAGCGAAATAAAAAATCAAATTCTGCTCAAGATGAAAAAATAGTGAAAAGACCGAGAAGGTAATGACTGAAATTAACAGGGACACAAAATATCGTGACGAATATGCAATAACTTGTCGACTGTTCAAGGCAACGGCATGCTTATTTAGTTGCACCTGGACGAGGCTACCAATCCACTCATGAAAAAACAAGTACAAGGAGGACCCAAGCGTAGTCAAGAATTCTATTTAAGAAGACCTTTTAAACGACAGCCAGGCGTCTCGTACCCTTCTGCTGGGAATTTTTCCGAGATATATCGCAATTTAGGCATCGGAATTCTCAAAGAGAAATTTATTATGACTTAATAAGATGCACTCGGAACGAGCAGTATTTTTCGATGGGACTGCAGGGCAAGAACGCTGGAAAGGAGCAAGCGAAAAAACTCGCAGCCCTCGTATTCAAGCGAATGGAGCAAATACTATGTGACATTTGTGCTCGCGCCTCTTCGAGGAGCAATTTTAGTCTTGTTTTAGAGCTTCTCTTCCCCGTGCACCTAAAAAAGCTTGCGTTTTGGTTCAAATGGTATCCATTATTGTATACTATGATATTCGTGCGTGAGTGTATTAACACCTCGACCAAATCAAAAGTCTTTTGTGTGTTGTCACTACCTCTTGAGCTCTCCCTCTCAATCGTGTTGTCTTTGGGGTTTAAAAAATCATAACAGCACCGACTGATTCCAGTAAAAACACTGAAATGCTGCCATCAGTACTGGTAGAGCCCATTTAAACTAATCAATGAGCGACAAACAGGCAGAATAGATTCGTGATAGTCTATCAGAACTTTATCAAAGCTCAAGAAACTATAGCGTGCGAGCAGGGATCTCATTTTTATTGGTCAACTAAACAATCACAACAGCAGTACTGTAGTACCAACAAACCCCAAGACAGTAATACACCACGAACACAAATAGCAGTACCAAAAAATAACATTATCAGCACCCATCCCAAGATAAGCAGCAGCGGTGTCAAAAGGAACAGAAACACACAATTACTTACTATAAAACAACAACGGATTAAGCCACAGCGGTAGAACAACAACGACACCAGCATCGATACTAAAAGCAAAAAGCAGCAACTAAAAATAATATTCTCAGATGTTATATAACGATTAAAGCAACTGAAAAAATGCTAGCATAAGAAAAACAATACTATCAATTAAAAGAAAATCAGCACCCATCGTCTGCATTTGCGGCCGGGGCCGACGATGCGTAAGCGCTTTACTTCTTATCTGCACAGTCTGCGCCCGCAACTAGTGGCTGCCGGCTCAGCACGTCTGCGGCAGCAACCTTCTATGTAGCACTACCTGCAGGGTGAATGCTCCAGCATGACCATTCAAAGAAGGTACAAGGTATGCATTTTTATCTATAACACATTATTAGAGTATTTGAGGACGAGGGCATCTTTATCTCATAATCTGGGAATTTTTATCTAACTGTAATCTGAGATTTATTTTTATTTTCTCATTATCTAGGGATTTTTAATTTTTGCTGAAGTAAATTCCATCCTCACTTTTGAAACGTGATGTTTGATCTAAATAATTTGACACTTCTCTGCAGTAGTTGGATTTGATACCATGTAAAATTTATCTGCTAGTTATTATTGCATTACTCGCCATGCTTAGATTAAGGTAAATTAGTCATTATATTTTTGCTTTATCTCCTGCTTCTAGAGGAGGGAATTCGGTAGGTCTGGGTGTGACAGGGCACTATGCGATTGTACCGACAAAATACAGCCTGCTTCAATGAAAATAAATGTAAATTAGTGCCACGACACTACACGTACACACACGTACCAGAAGGGTATATTGATGAGAAGGAAGAGCAAATAACATGGGAAAAATAAAAACAAAAATAACGGAACGGTTACATACGGACTCGAGACCATGATAAATGGATTGAATATGTTGACTTACGCGCAAAAAAGGCAATGATTAACCGGAAACAAGAGACCAAGAAGAGTCTTATTGCTTGAAGTTTTAGGAAACGAAGCGCGCAAGTATAGACGTCAATGAGCTAAGCAAAAACTCACTAGCTTAATTCAAGATCGGTCATGCGTCATCTATAAATTCTCGTAAGTGGCGCAAGAATCTTGAAGTAAACTCTTGACTTCTCACGCGCGAGACTTACAAAACGTTGACGTATAGCAACCATTCTATATTTTTAATGCATTTTGTATGGTATGAGCTGGCAACATTTTGGATAATGTGTATATTCACATAAATTTAAATACGACCGATCTTGAATTAAGCTAGAAGAGCAACTCTCGAACCTTGACGCATCCTCCATATATAAATAGCTTGATCCGACGCTTCTGTTGCGATAGTGACACAGGCAAAATATACATGGGCTAAAGCCAGAGATTACATTATAAGGCTACACCATGATGGCCTTGCTTCACGTTGTGATCACAAAGCGAATGACTGTTTTGCGCGTGATAGAGCTGTCGCCCTCATTCAGGTTGTGTTCGCCTATCACGACGTCGATGCTGACCTTGACACACATGAACACAGCCACATCCAGCGGATGCAAGAGGTGATTTTCGTTCGCTGGGAGGAGCACAAAAACGAAGTCGAGCCGCAAGCCTTGTGTTGTAAAATCTTCTGAGGATTTCGAAAAGATCGATTAATTAAATAATTAAAATCTACGACCGATCTTGATGAAGGACATATCGGCACTTAAGCTGCGCAATAATGGGATCAAATATCGAGATACCAAGTTCGATAATCAAGATACCAAGATCTAGAATACATAGGGCGGTCGAAGTTGAGAATTTGATTAGAGATCAATGGTGATAGCAGCCGGAAACGTGTTCGATGATCAGGAGTGGACCACATATGCGGCAGGGTGGTCGACGATATCAGTTAGATAAGGTACGCCAAGGAACGATATACAGAGATCATAGGACACGTGGTAGGATGTCCTCGTATACA